GGGGGCACTGGGGTGCGGGGCTGGGCCGCCCTGATCCCTGCGGGCCGTGGTGCGTTCTGGCTGAGCTTGCGGCGGGGCACTCTCTGGGCCCCCCAGGCAATGAGGGGAGGCGTCTTTGAGCTTTTAGGGTCCTCTTAGAGGGGTTACAAAGGAAACTGTTGGAGGCGCGGGAAGCCCATCCTGGGGCCCCGGCTCCGGTGGAGCCCGGGGTCTTGGAACCCAGGAGGCAGAAGGCGAGAGGACGGGTGCTTCCCCAGTCCTAAGCCAACACCCCTAGGCACTTGGCCAAGGGCCTGGTGTTAAAAATCTTGGCTGTAGGGAAGCAGATTCCACACCCCGAGGTAATTACCTCGTAATGCGAGTGGAAAATGGGAGATGGAAGCGTGGCCTGTGGGTGGTGGGTGAGTCAGGTATCGGGATGGGAAAGGGCACACTTTCTCTTCCTCCAACTCTAGGAAGGAGCACGACAGCGAAGTGGGGGCCTAGTCCAACCTTCTGATCCCGGCGACATGGCACCTTTTGCTGAAAGCAAATATGGCTCCGAGTGCAGTTCAAACAACAAAGGCTGGGCGGATCATGTTACCCCGAGAGACCACCTTCCTCTGGAAGTCCCCCTGAGTCGTGGGGCTGAGCCACCTGGGTTTCTGAGGAAATCTCTGGTGACATTCAAAGCTCGAAGACGATGTCCGGGTTATAAAGAAAGGAGAAGTGATTTGGATCTGGAAAAGGAGCTGATGATGCTCAGGCCATTTTGAAATGGCCTTTTATCTTCCCAGTCACCTTTCTGGTTGTCCTTGGAGAAAAGCTGATGGGGCTGACTGGCAGGTGACAGATCCAAGAAATTCTAGAGGGCAAAGCCACCGTGTGTGGCTTGCATCTGTATCTCCAGCACAAAGTGGATGTACATTCGTGGGTAGCTGAACTGAGGGTTGACCACCTCTCCTAGATAAGTCCTGCATTCCACCATGTTTACTTGTCAGGTGTTTTGGTCCTAGTGGGAGGCCCATGAAGACCTTTTTCAGGATATTCACACATTTGCATCTGTAAGCTGGACTTCCAAACGTTTTTCTTTCTTTTTTAAAAGCAGCTGTACTAAAACATTAAAACAAGTTGCAGATAGAAATATGATGACTCTTTCTCAGGTCTTTATCATATTCATCTTAAAACAAAGTATGTTGCTTTCAGAAAAAAAAATAATAATTTACCAGCACCAGAGTTATAAAAGTAAGCAGGAGAAGGATGCTGGCCAAGAGGTGCCTTACTTCACCTGGGATAGGAGGTCAGGGAAGTCTTCCCTATGAATGATATTGAGCTTTGATAAATTTGAAGAAAAAGTTACTACTGGAAGGCCAAGGGGAAGAGAGAGAGAGGAAAGAGAATTCCAAGCTGAAGGAACAGCCTTGCCAAGTTGTGAAGGTGTGGAAATGCATGACCTGTTCAAAGTAGCTAAAGTTAAGTATGTTGGCCTGGAAAGTAGTGAGATGAAAAGCTTTCCTATAGAACAAAAACCATCAGTGAGAGAAATGTAATGAGAGAGATGATGAATGAAAGAAAAAAACCTTCAATTACATTGGCAACAGACGTTTGAAGTGCCCAGGGATAAAATTCAGTATGAAGAAAACAACGTATACTTACTCCTGGACTAGGAAAAAACAAAAACCAACTAGTGTAAGGGAAGAAGCACCATGTCCTTAATGGTCAGCCTCCATTTTGTAAAGATGTCACTTCTCCCAGAAAAAGCCCTATAAATTCAGTGCGGTTTCCATAAAATGCAGTATATTTTTGTGGTAAAAAATGATAAAATGATTCTAGGGCTAGGGATATAGCTCAGTAGAGTGCTTGAATCACATGCATAAAGCCCTGGGTTCAATCCCCAGCCCCCGCCCACACACACACAAAAAAAAGATTCTAAAGTTTATTTGGAGGAGTCAGTGTGTAGAATAGCTGAAAAACACCTGGTAAAAATAAGAGAGTATGAGGACTGATTTGTTTCCTTGATTTATTTATAAATTACAATATACATATATATCACAAAGAGGTAAGCAATGTGGTTCTTGCACAGGAAATGACTAGACCAATGGAACAAAACTGTCCTACGCATTTATGTATGGGCACTTGGAGGGATTCAAAATTGGGGGAGAAAGAATGAGTTCAACAAATGATGTTGCAATAATTGATAATCATGTGAAAAAATGATTCAGTCTGTATTGAAAAATACATTCCAGATTAAAAGTCTAGTCCTTAGGAAAAAACATCCAAAGTTTGGAGAAGAATTTATTATCTTTTTACAGTTATCTTTTACAGTTCTGGTGCAGGGAATGTACCTCTGAAGCTGCCGGAAGCCGTGAAAGGACAGTTGGCAGATTTGAGTACTTAAAAATAAAAAACCTTAAAACAAAAGACAGAAACAAAGTTAAAATAGAAGTGACAAATTGGGCTGATGTTATTTGTAAATTAAACAAGATCAAAAACCATAGTATGTATTTATAGGTACGATTCTATGCCATATGCTTTTATTTTTCTTTTCGTGGCTGGGGATCACACTCAGGTTCTTGTGGATGCTGGGCAAGTGCTCCACCACTAAGCTACATCCCCAGCCCCATTGTTTTGTTTTTGAGACAGGGTCACACTGTTGCCCAGGTTGATCTTGAATTCCTGGGCTTGAAAGATCCTCAGCCCCCTGATTGCTGGGAGTCCAGGCACTCGCCGGTGTACCCGGCTATATTATATACATGTATTAACCACACCTTTCTGTAAGGGATGTTTGGAGGTTTTTCCCTACCACTACAGGTTGTGAGCTCCTGGAAGGCAGGTATTGCTTCTGCCTTTGTCCCTGTGTTTCCAGCATTCCCAGCGTTTTGCAAGTTCTTGTTACTTGGTGCTCGGTATTTGTTGTGTGAACAGATGGTTGTATGATTGAATATGGAGGCTGAATTGCAGTCAGGGGAGAGGGCTAGGTATCAGCTGGGGGACAATGGCCCTACACCTCAAAAAGAAAGCAGATTTGAGAAAGATGGAAAAGACAGAACACACAGGTTGAGGTGGCTGATTGAATAACATGGGGCTTGGGAGGTGGGGAATGTGTAAGAAAGCTCCCTGGCATAGCTTTCTGGCCTGGGTAGCTGGATGGTTCGTGCCAATCACTGAGCCAGGGAGCACAGAGGAAATGCAGCTTTGGTTGAAGGCTGCTAGGAACCTTGATGAGCTGAATTTCAGGACATCTAGGTGGATAGAGCCAGTATAAAGTTGGACCCACTGGAAGGAAGTCAGTCTGCTGTAAAAAGTGAATTTCATAAATCAGTAATGGCTCCATGTTTATTAAAACACACACATGGCTGCAGTAAACAGCATAGCAAAACCAGGGACAGCTTGTGCTGTGGAAGGTTACTGAGGTAGGCCAGCTATGAAGGATGGAAGGGAAACTGTGCTTGGGTATGCTTTAGCTTAGGTCTCCAACTCACATTTGCAAACCCTGGGTGTCAGAACTACAAGCCATCTCCAATCCTCTAGATTCTTCCAAAGATGTGGCCTGGTCTTTGGACCTTTGTTGACCAGGCTTCTGACTCCCCACTCTCCTCCCACTGTGGCTCCTCGTGACTTTGAAGAGGCTGCGAGTTTGGCTGGCCTCCCAGGACAGCTGCCTCCCAGGGCCAGGAGCAGAAGGGAGGGCCTGCAGGCCACATAAGAACCAGACTGGTTGTTTCTGGAAGATCCCAGCTCATTCCAGAGCAGAGAGGGGGCTGGTGGTGGGCAGGGCTGTGAAGAGGTGGTGGACATGGTGGTGGAAGGCTGCTGCCCCACCATGACTCAGCACTCTGCTGATCTGGGTGGGTTGGGCTTGGGCTCCAAAAGTGCTTAGTCACAGAGGAGCCAAGTCAGAAGGCCTTCAGGGCTGTGTCTTCACTGTGAGGAGGAGGAGGGAAAAGCCTCCATTTCAGAATGGGACAGACCATGGAGGCTGGACCAGGAACAAAAGGGTCCTCTTGACCTGCCTCACCTGGTGTCTTTTAGCACAAAGGGAGTGTCACTTTTCCTACCTCAGTGCCTTCCAACCTCTTGTGCACTCTCAGCAGGTGCTGCGACTCTCTTTCCCTTCTAGGGATTGGTCCTCTGCAGGTAGAGTTGAGGACACAGTGGATGGGAAGAGTCTGCAGCGTTTCCATTTCCACTGTTTTTTTTTTTTTTTTTTACAGATAAGGAGGTAAGGCTCAAAGAAGGCAAGGCTTGCTCAAGGCTGTAGAGTCAGTGGCTGGAACACAAGCTGAAAAATGTAGGACGGGCCCCGTGGAACACTGCCCGTGGAACACTGCGTGATCATTAGAAATGGTAAACGTGTCTCCAGGAGGTGGAGATGGAATAATGTTATGCGAAAACAGCACAGCCCCAAATAGTCCCCGCAAGCTGATTACAATGAGAGAAAAAAAAAAAAATCACAAGGCTGGAAATATAGGTGAGGTTTGGAGGAGAATGGGTTGAGTGATATTTTAACTAAGGAGCTGTTGCAAAAGTCCGGGACTCCCCATGAAGTCACGCGTTGTAGGAAGTTAAGAGTCTGGAAATTCAAGAAATTGGAAAAAACATGGCTTAACCCGATTCCGGTACATTTCTGGATGATGCAACCAGCTTATTCCGAGAGCTTGTCTTTAAATGATTTCTTGAGAGCCGATGAGGACACGCAGATGCTAGGTCTAGGTACTCAGAGTCCTTCTCTTCCAGAAGGGTAAGGGTCAGAATCCACAATCTGGAATATTACAGGACTACTGAATGAGACGTTCTTTTTTTCTCTTTTTAAAAAGGCAACTCAGGCTTTACTACGGCTTCAGGGAAGCCTTCTCAGATCCTGGGTGGGAGAGTCCGTTTCTGCCAGAGGCTGTATCACTGGCCTGGACTATTTGTTTGCTCCTCTGGACTTTGAGCTCTTTTTTACACTGTGACCCCAGCACAGGGGCCCTTCCAGTTCTGGCAGTTTTCAGCTCAGATAACTCTCCTCCAATCATCTTACCCAGTGGAACAGTCGGCTGTCCTTGTGGCCCACGGGTCCCTGGAGGTGGAGCCTGTGCTAGCTCCCTGCTGGGTCCTCCTCAGTGACTCCTGGCACATCGGCCCAGATCCTAGAAGCTTCCAGAAAGCCACCTGGCCTCTCTGAGCTTTGGTTTCTGTATTTATCCACAGCATCTGGAGTCAGGCTTCCTCCAGCACCTCCCCTTGGGGTGCCCCCACCACCACACGCCATCTGCCTGTACCCAACCTCAGGGCATGCCCACATCACCCGGTCTGTGCCCTTTGGCCAGATTGGGATAGGTGGCAGGAGGAATGCCTTGGAGAGAGTGAAAAGAGAAACGTGATTTGCAAGCCTTGGCAGGGCGTCTGCAGCCAGGGCCTGGGAGGGCTCTCTGTGGGAATGGGGACTCGAGCTGCCTTGGCCTTTCACCATCCATCATACAGACATGCACTCACTCTGCCCACACCCCGGGGAGTCTGTGGAAGCCCAGTGCCTCTGAGCTGGTGAAGATTGAGAGGTTGAAGGGGAAGTCTTGAGTTAGGGGTCTTTGTGCAAGTCTGGGAGTGAGGAATCCTGGACTCCCCTGTAGGGAGCAGAGGGGAGGAGGAGACACTGAAGCTTGCTAGGAATCCAGAGTTGGCAGCCTGGGGCAGAGCGGAGTGGGAGCAAAGGGCAGCCTGGGTTGACCAAATGGCAAGTTAGCAGAGTGAGGCGGCCAGTGTGGGCGGCCAGGCAATTCCCCTCCCACCCACGAAGGTCTCTAGTGTAATTCTGGCAAACTAGCACGTTTGGCTGGGCCAGCAGATGGGACCTAATGGCCCACAGAGGGGAGTCTCAAGTGCCCTCCAAAAGATTAAGGACCGCAAAATCCTCATCTAAGCATGGAAGAGGCCTCATTCAACCTGGGGCTACTACCAGTGTCCCAGGCTACCTCCTGCCTGTTCTGCCTGTCGCAGCCTTACTCTCCATCACTTCTGCTTGTACCTTGTGAGACACAGAGGCAAGCATTTCAAAGCCTAGTAGGTGTGAGGCACTGGGTTCAATCCTCAGCTCCACATATAAATAAATAAAATAAAGGTCCATCAACAACTAAAAAAAAAAAAGTCCTGCAAGGGAGCCCCCTGACTCAGGGACACAATTGTGACTCTTCTGTGTCCCTTTTGCAGGCCATTCACCCCCTGGGCCTTCTCTGCTGCCTTACCAGGATGTCGCCCTCACACCTCGGGGTGTAGGAAGGCTTGCTCGGCCCAGCCCACCTGCCCCAATTTGTCTGAGCCTCTACCCAGCTCAGATAGCCTCTGGGAGGTTTCTCTGGCTCCCCAGAGTTGAGACTTTCTCTTCCTCGTGCCCTCCAGGTTCTGGACACATCTCCACCGCCCTGTGGTACTGCAGTGACCTTTCACACCTGCCTCCCTTGCTGCAAGGGCAGCTCCTGCCCTATTCATGTTGGCTGCGACCCAGCAAAGCACCTGCCTACTGAGGGCGAGGGCTAGGTTTCCTTGGCTTTAGCTCTAGTCCAGCACTCACTCCCCTTTTCCATTCTAGGCTGGTTTTTCTGCTCTCCACGTGGAAGATGCAGAGAATGAGCCAGTCGTTCTGCGGTTTGAAGATTACACCACGCAGAGACCCAGGATGAGGCAATCGGGGCTGGGACCAGATGGGTCATGGGGTAGTGACACCATGCTCACGGGCTTGACCATGCCAGTTCCCTTGGTAACCGCAGAGTGTTTCCTCAACTGGGGGAATTTGTGGACTGTCCCAGGGGCCAGGGGAGGAAGTAAAGAAGGATGGACGTGGTCAGCTCACTACTAGAAAGAAACACCAAGCACTTCCTGGTAAGGGACTAGAGCATTCTTGGAGTCACTGTCATTCAGTAAGTATAATGTGCTGGCCCTGTGCCAGAGGGTTTACACAAAGCAAGGTGACACCTTTGTGGCTGAAACCAGCAACACCTCTGTGGAGTAGGTGGGGCAGGTCACCTGTGCTGGTCACCTGTAAGCAGGTTCCTTTCCACAGGAAGAGGAAGCTAGAGGTCACCGAGGTGGGGTGACGACCTTGCCTACAGCTGCTTGTCACCTGGATTCTCACTCAGTGCCCTGATGTGGCCATGGTGATGACATTCTGAAATTCATGACACGAGGCCAGGGGTGTGGAGGAAGAGACCATTGAGATTCCAGTCCCTG